GGAGACTACAGTCCCTTGGTTTGCCCATCTGTTGTGTATTGGGGTGCAGGGCTCAAGAGAAGGGGAGATACCTGGCTCAACTTCTCTGCCCCAGCCAGGTCACACTGCACTGGTCTGGACCCATGGCAGTCAGTGAGCCAAGTGCACGTGACAATTTAGTGGATGGACCTGGTTCCTCTGGGTATTTGCACGCACTCTAAGAGTATCCCCACAGCCAAGGGAAAATGACTTTATTTTTTAATTAATTATTTTTTTTGGGGGGGGGAGAGGAGAGGAGAGGGACAAAGATTGAAAAGGAGAGTGAATCCCAAGCAGGCTTCATGCTCAGCGCAAAGCCTGCCATGGGGCTCAATCTCAGGACCCTGGCATCATGACCTGAGCCAAAACCAGTCAAGCACTTAACCAACTGAGCCACTCAGGCACCCTGGGGGTGAATTTAAATAACAAATAAAAAACACTACAGGGAGGCATGGGTGGCTTAATGGTTAAGCCTCTGCCTTTGGCTCAGGGCATAATCCTGGAGTTCCAGGATTGAGTCCCACATTGGGCTTCCTGTATGGACCCTGTTTCTCCCTCTGCCTATGTCTCTACTTCTGTGTCTCTCATGAGTAAATAAATTAAATCTTAAAAAACAAACAAAAAAACAAAAACAAAAACAAAAACAAACAAACAAAAAAACCACTACAAAAGGTTGAGAGAGAGATCACAAAAGAAAGGCAAAAGCTTTATATTTTATTTTTCTCTGGGCTCTGACAATTACATAGCCAGGCTTGCCAGCAGATTTTTCCTACTTGCGACCAAAGGAGTCCTAATTAAAACACAATAATGCCTTTCGCATGCTCTGTATTTTGAATAATTCTTTTTAAGCCTTTTTCACATAATACCATTTTGTAAATAGCTACACTGGGTGGGAAGCATCTGTTCAAATCTTTTCCCCATACTAAATGGTGAGCCCTCCAGTGACCTTGTCTTATTTGCCTTTTGCTCTTTTGGTGCCCAGAACTATGCTCCAGACACAGAACTCCCCCTTAATGTATGTTTGTAAAAGAATGTCAATATTATTAGTCATTAAGACAAGAAATGTTCTAAAGGATCATCATATCTTATCCAGCCCTAGGAGACAAACAAGAGGGAAGGCCCTGTCAGTCACCTACTACCTGACAGCTGCCCAAAGCCCACCTCAGGCCCAGGTTAATGTGGGAGTAGGAACGCAGATAAACACTCCCACAGACAACCTCGACTTGCATGTCAGATTGTGCAAGTCAGATCTGAAACAGTGTGCTAGTGTGTTGTCCATTTAACCTCAAATTTTTAGCAACATACCTTATATAGTTTCAAAAGTTTTTAGTCTGTTTATGAAAAATATGGGCAAATTAAAAAATTATCGATTGCCATTGTACCATCTCTTCCCTTTTTGATTTCTTTACAATCTCTAGTTAGAAGAAAAACAGACCTTAAAAAAAAAAAAAAAAAAACAGTTAAATGCTGAATAGCCAGGGAGCAGGGAGGAAAAGGAAGAAGGAGAAAGAGAAGAAAAATGGAAAAGATAAAGGAAGGGGTCTAAAGACAGTAGCACTAATCAGGTTAAATTAAATTGGATTTAGCTATGTTTTATTCAAGATTTACCTGTGAGCCAGAACAATGCTATCAACCTCCCAGGGATACGGCGGGAACTAATGAAGTGACATATGTGAACATACTCAGCAAGCCATCTTGCACATATTGTGTGACTGTTGAAGCTGAACAGGTATTTACCATCCACATGAAAAAAAACAAAACAAAACAAAACAAAACAAAAAAACAAACCAAAACAAAACAAATACCCACTTTCCCTGGACATTGGCCACCAGGAGAGCCCATGTGAAAGAACTCACACCAATTAGGATTGTTTGAGAAATTGCTGCCTTGTGTTTTGCCTGTGAATAGTAGTGTTAATGGTGTTTATTTCTAAGCAGATGTATTCAATTCTATGAACAATACCATGTCTTAGAAAAGCTTTTATACTTTAAAAAAAATAGTTCAAGTTGTCTAGTTATCCCTGTCCAACTCCTTCTATAAATGCTTAGTTACAGGTGGAAAAGTCAACTATGAAATATATGCCCTGAAACTGAGACACAGATTTCAGTACTTCAGTCAGAGGGCTGAGGTTCAAGCCAACTCATCAAACGCCTCTTCCTCCTCCCTCATTGTACCACTACTAATACTGTTTTTACATTTTGTAGCATTTGATATTTTAAAACACATTGATATGTATCTATACACACATATATATGCAAAGAATTGAAATATATATCAATGCAAAGAACTGATGTATACACATACACACAAAAGAATACACACATTCTTTTAAGAATTCTTTGCAATCATACAGTTGGAAAAAACGCGGTGCTGATGTTAACCCAATTTTACTATGTAAAAATACAGAACTTACAACTCACTAGCAAGGAAATCTTGTCTAACCCCAAACTCTGTAACCTCATGGTCCAGTTCTTCAACTACATGGCACTTCTGCCCCGGTAACATTTATAAAACATGAGGTTCTCCCTATCTTATTGAAGTCTGCCCGAGTGACCATGAAAACCACTTTAAAGAAAATTATTGTCCTTGATTCATAACTTTCAGGGGAAGATGTATTTTCAGAGCCTATGGACACCGGGAACATTATTTGAACTCATATTTTTTATAATGAGACTTTCAAATTCCACAAAGGTGAGCCACTACTTATCACAATGGCAGGAGGGGGTTTGGCAAACACAAACTCACTGAACTAGTGCAATTAATATTATTTTATGAGGTAACATAATTCTGGAAAAAAAAGTATTGAAGTCAAATCCCTATGTGCTCCTCAGACTTACAGCATTAGCATGCAAACATCGGCAGTGGGCTTGATAATCCATGGAATTATATTAATATTTATGTATTTTTGTTTTACTTGGACGTATCTTAGCCTTCTTTTAAAAGCTGAGCATTTTTATTTGCCTCAAAGAACTTAAAAACACACACACAATTATGATATGTGTAAATTCCCATTGTGAAAGATGCAAACATTGAATTCATTGAAGTCCATGTTCTTTGTCACACACAGACGACCTCATAAACAATAAAATGAACAGTTTCCGTGTTTCAAGTCTCCATGCACACAGATATTTATAAATAATAAATCAGATACGTGATGACGAGATAGGTATTGTCCTGTAGGGTTTTCTCAAAAATATGTTTCGGAAATCCTTCAAAGTGTGTGTATGCACACGCATATGTACATATATACACTTAGAGTTTTAAAGCACTGCATTCTATATCACAAAATGATATGTGAAATAAATCATTCCATTACCAACATATTTTGATTGTTTCTGGCTTTCAGTGAATATGAGCAATGTAGTAAAACACCACTGTACATGCATATTCCCCCCTCATGAGCATGTGCATTTCCTAGAATACATTTCAAAAGGCAAATTCAATGGCATCAAAAGAATCCCTATATTACTCTTCGGATTTAAATGTTCAAAGATTTTCTCAAATTGTAATTAAAAAGTTTCACTAATTTATACTGTCATGTAAGCAAATAATCAACAAATTTGTTTATCCCAACCTCACCAACAGAGAATATGATCATTTTTTTAAAAAAGATTTATTCATTTATTTGAGAGAGAGTGAGAGTGAGCAAGTGCAGTGGGGAGAGGTACAGGGAGACAGAGAATCTCAAGCAGACTCCATCCTGAACATGAAGCTCAACTTGGGGCTCTATTCCATGACCCCAATATCATGACCTGAGCCAAAAACCAAGAGCTGGACATTTAACTGACTGAGTCACCCAGGTACATGAAGAAGAAAGTCAATTTTTACAAATTCTCCCCTATCTAATCCAGGAACATGGGTCCTTGGTCATTGTCCATTATTTCTCTCTCTCCTTTGGCTTGTCATCTCCGCAGAAGAGTACTGATAACATGCTGGGTGTCCTTGGGCAAGTTACTTAACCCTTCTCGGTCTTAGTTTTGTCACCTCTAAAATGAGGATGATAATTATAATAATACCCACCCTGAAGGACTATTTCCTGTTTTTTCATCCATTTTGCCTCTTTTTCTATGTAATGTCTCTTTCCTTTTGGTTAGTTCAGTAAGTTAACACGTATTTAATGAGTGTCTACAGTGTGCCAAGCATCATTCTAATTGCTGGGGACAGAGCAGGGAGTCAAAACCAAGTGGTCTCTCTCAAAGTGCTGACAGCCCAGAAGCAAACACAGAAACGTACGTGACAACGATCTGTCATGTTGTGTTAGTGAGGAAAAAATAAAGTAGGGTATGAGGCTAAGACCTAACAGAGGTGCTGTGTTAGAGCTGGCCAAAGTTTCTGTGGTGAAGGGACACTTGTGTAGAGGTGTAGAGGAAGTAGGCATCCAGGCTGAGGTGTCAGCAAGCACAAAGCCCTGGGATGGAATGTGGTTGGCGTGTTTGAGAATGTTGGTTGTAGAAGGAACAAGGGGGAGAGAAAGGAGGGCTGCCAGCTGAGAGGAGCCAGACACCAGCTTCTGAATGCTCTCATAAGCCATAAAGGAGCAATTTTGATTTTATGCTAAATGCAGATGGAAGCCAAGGCACTGTCTCTCAATTGCTGACCTGCGCCCCACACACAGAGAGACTTGAAGCTTCCTACCCACACAGATACCTCAAGTATGGCCATGGGCAGGGCCCACTTGCCCTCTGAGCAAATCTCACAGGGAACAAAAACCCACATCAGCAGTCACAGTGTCCCTCACAAACTCAGGCCCAGAGGCAAAGCTCAACAGAGCCATAGAGCTGTGCAGCCACACCCCTGACCCAAATGTGTACCTTCTGCATCCAATCCAAAATGGAGATTTATGGCATTTTTCTTCTCTGATGCACAGCACCCTCAGCAGAGGACAGACCAGGAATGGAACCCTGGCCATGCTCTGCTACCACAGTGGTGACAAGGGTCTGCAACATGAGTACCAGGAGCCCAGGCAGGGACAGCAAGCCTACCTCTGCAGATGGTTCCATTCCCCACGTAGCCTGGTTTGCAGGTGCAGCTGTGTCCCCGGACGGTGTTGGTGCAGATGGCATTCTCATCACAATTGTGTTGCCCGCTGCCACACTCATCATGCTCTGTTTTGCAGGGGGAGAAAGAGAGAGAGACATCTTAATTTGGCATCACAAGTGTTGGGAAAGTGAGTTGGGACTCGCCAAATAAGAATGACAGTGACGGGGGATCCCTGGGTGGCGCAGCGGTTTGGCGCCTGCCTTTGGCCCAGGGCGCGATCCTGGAGACCCGGGATCGAATCCCACGTCGGGCTCCCGGTGCATGGAGCCTGCTTCTCCCTCTGCCTGTGTCTCTGCCTCTCTCTCTCTATCTCTCTGTGACTATCATAAATAAAAATAAAAATTAAAAAAAAATTTAAACTTAAAAAAAAAAAAAAAGAATGACAGTGACTACCAGGTACGAGGATCTTACGATGCACCTGGCAGTTTCTGTGCCTGGTATGGTTGAAAATCTCAACAACTCTAAAAGATGGAGGTCATTATCCTCGCTTTGCACGTAAAGAAATTAAAGAAATCATAGAAGTGAGTGTCTCACGCAAGTTACATGACTCGCATGTAAGTCTTGCATGTAAGTCTGCGTGTAAGCACTGCTCTAAGGGCACGGCTTTTTCCATGTCTTGCAAATTTCTATAGAGGCTCCAAGGCAGCATTTCTCACCGGGGAGCAATTTTGTTTCCCCTCCCCACCAGAAACATTTTACAATGTCTGACGATATCCTTGGTTATCATGGTTTGGGACAGGGGTGCTACTGGAATCTAGTGGATACAGGCCAGGGATGCTGCTAAGCGTCTTACAGTGCACAGGAAAGCCCTGCTCAATGAAACATTAACAGCATGAAACACCAACAGTGCCTAGGCTGGGAAACCTTCCTCTGACGTTGATGAAGGAAAAAGAAACAATCCTACATGTGAGATTCCAGGGTTTCTTTACAACTGAAGAGGAAGGCTCAGCTAATATTACTTGGCAAAGAAGCATTTACTAACAAGGAATTTCAAAGGAATTTCATTGGTCACAGGAAATGCTGGCAAGCATGGGGTTGTGCCAAGTCCAAAAGGAAATTACCCCTAGGATCTCTTCTCAAGGGCCTTCCGTGGGGCCCTGAACTCTAGTTTTCCACGTAGCCCAAGGCCCAAGTTCACAGGGGGGTCAGCATTCAACCCCTGGGTTGACACCTGCTGGGTAGTTACATGGTTGTATATTTTCAAATAGCTGAGGCTTCCTTAACCCACAAGATGCAGGGGGATGTAGATCCAACACTTTATAAAATGGATAGGGAGATTCCAAGTTAGAAATCAAGATTTCGCAGATAATACTACTTTCCTGTCATAATCAGGAAATTTAAACAGTCCTCTAAATGGCTACTCTGTAAAATAAATATCATCTGTTTAAGTCTTAAATTTTAGAAAGAAAATTCAAATAGGTTTATTCAAGTCACGAAACCTTATAAAACAGGAGTTGAAGTCCCAGCTAGAAACGTCCCCAAAATCACACAAACTGAACACTAAAAATTCAATGTAGTTTCTAAATGGTACTGCTAGATCAATGTAGCAATCAATTGAAATATCTATCTTCTTTAATTTTTATTATAAATTTTCTAGCAGAGACCCAGTATGAGAAAGGTTAAGTTCTAGAAAGTAGAGCTGTTTTAGTCACTCATGTGCAAGCAAAGTACAGCAAACACAAGCATATGACTTGATTTAACACTTGAGATTTTTCAAAAATTAAATAAAAATTCATTTGGCCTTAAGACCAAACCACAGTCAGTGAGTCATGTGCACAGGTTGGCAAGTAGGGAGATGAGAAGATTTATGAAGACTCACTTCCAGTCTGTGCTAATGTCATCTCCAGCACACTCCAGAACTAGTATAACCTGTAGATGTCCGATCACGTTTACAGACCCACAAGGCACCTAGTATACACAGGTACCATAGCAGAGGAGGTCGGGCACACACAAATGTCTGAGTACAGACTTCCACACCCAAGTTTTCAAACCTAAATTCATTTAATAATTATTAGAGTCTGCACTGGGAATACAAAGGTGAGTCGAGAAGGTCTCTGTTCACATGAACATTTTAATAGGGGCCACCAGATGTCAATATGCAACTAAGTGGAACACAAGGGAGAAGTGATAAGAGTTATAAGGAGGCGACCTTATATATTTTATCATACAAACAGAATACATTTTATAGGGAAAGGGGTTCTGCCAAAAATTACACTGGAATAACAGGCAGGACTCAATACCATATGCAACCTGGCACGTGTGGTCCTCCTAGACGGGAGGAATAAAGATAAAATGAAATAGCAGTCCATTGGAGGAAAGCAATTTCTGCTAAGAGGGAGAAAGGTCTTCTTACAAAAGGTAGTATTTGGACTGGTCTTTAAACAATGGTCATGGTTTTCTCAGTCAGAACTGCCCAGCAAGGGCACTACAGGTAAAAGAAAGGTATGGTTTCATGCAAAATTCCAAACATCTGGTCCACCTGCACCTACCTGATAATTCTTTTTTTTCTTTGTTTAGGTATAATTGATAAAACTAAGTTATTTAAAGTGTTGATTTTTCATACGCACACATCGTGAAAGGCTTTCCCTCATCAAGTTAATGAACACATCCATCCTACTTGGTCTTATCTCCAATTATTTTTGAAGAAAACTTCTTCTCTGATGAGGTGGCCTGCAAAGTGGGAGTTCATTTCTACCTCTCTCCGGTTTGTCATTTTGTTTCCATGACTCAATATACCGTCTCCCAACGTAACTGGAATATCTGTGTCCCTGCCTGGCTTCAGACACCACTTCCTGCCCTTATTTTTTGCCATGAAAGCCTTGCATATCTGCTCTCCATACCACATAAATTTCACCATCTTGGAACTTTTACCAAATTTGGCATCTCTACCTCCTCGGAGGCAATCACATTCATGGTGATATTCGCGAGCTTTATTATTAAATACCCATTGAAGATCTGACTTATGTTGGACAGAAACAACCAAAGAAGAAATGGTCTCCTAAAACCATCAAATTCCCTCCCAGCTGTTGGGGATGCTGCAAAGGGGGCGGGACAAGCACTTGGAGAGATGGCTTGGCAAAGCAGGTGAGAACACAGACTCTACAACGATGCGGCCTGAGTTAGATGACCCCGGGTTTGCCACTTATATCAGCTATGTGAACTTGAGTAAGTCATTTGGCCAATCTGCATCTTAGTTTCCTAAGGTGTAAAAGGTGGATAATAATAGAACCTAGCTCCTGAGATTGTCATCAGGATTATATTCGTTACTAAAATGCTTATAGCACACTGCAACTAGTACACGTTCTACCGTTGTAAGCTATTATTGTTATTACTATTACCACCACCACTGCAATTATTTGTGAGCAGACCTAATTGTTGGATAGTAGTTAAAATTGGTTAAGAAAACATTCTCTTGCCTTTATAGGCTGGTAGTCCAGGAAGAAAGGCTATGAACAGATAGGCTTTTGAAGACGATTAAATTAGAGTATCTCCTTGAAGACCCAAACACGTCTTCACTTACATTCAATTATGGTCCCAAGAAACAAGGCTACAGATTGGAAAGGTGAAGGATGTGCGTGCACAATTGTTGATGTATGACCTGAGTTTGATTACAGTATATTTGGAGTATCCAACCTCTCAAGATGGAAAATTATGATTGTGGTGCCATGCTGTTTCTCCACTGATGATAATAATTACTGGTATGCTGGCTAATACATATTGAGCCTAACAAAGCACTGTCATTATCATATAGGTTCTTTCTCCTCCTGCTTCTCTTCCTTTTCTTTCTACAGAATGGCTCAGAAAGACTCTAACACTGTAATCAAATGTAATCAATAGTCATTATCAATTAACACCCTGTTTTCCTTAGTGGACTAATCAGGACCTGAACAAGCTACCTAAACAGTCATTTCAGCTGCAAATGCTCCATGTCTGGGGTCTGGTTGGCTTGTGGCTTTCCTTTGTCCAAAGTAATCTCTTACCTAGTTTATGGAATTGTTACAATGACCCCACGAAGATGTCAAGCACATCTCATCAATCACATGTTATAGATGAAGAAACTGGGGTTTGAAGCTTGTAACAGGTCAAAGTACATAGATAATAAGTTGTATGTCTGGAACTCCACTCCCATGCATCCTGTCTCTTTTCCTGCGTTCTTTCCACACCTCCATTTTACTGTATGATCCAAAGGAATTTCTAAAGTGTTGGCCACAGTGTAAGTACGTTTTTACTGTTTAGAGGAGAATAATCATAGATTTATAGGAAGTTGTGAAAGTAGTACAAAGAGTCCCTTATGCTTCACCCAGCTTCCCTCAATAGTGCCATCTTAAATAGCTGTAGTACAACATGAAAGCCATTGGTATATTACTGTTAACTAGTCTAGAAAGAAACCTTATTCAGTTTACACCATGTTTAAAATCTACATCCATTGTGGTAGGGGGCGGGTGTATATGTACGTAAGTGTATAGTTCTAAGCAGTATTATCCTGTGTATAAGTTCAGGTAACCACCAACACATTCATGCTAGATCTTTTTGTTTATACCTATTCACCATTTCCCCAGACCCACATACCCCCAGTCCCTGTCCCTGGTCAGCTACTAACATGTTCTCATCTCCATAGGCTTGCCATTTAGAGAATGTAGTAGAAATAGAATTATACATATGGTAAGTAAATTTTGAGACTGACTTTTTTCACTAGACAAAATGCCCTTGAGTTCCAATCAGGTTGTCGTATGTGTCCCTAGTCCATTGCTTTTTGTTGTTCAGAAGTATTCCCTTGTATAAATGCATCACAGTTTGTTCAACATACACACACTGAAGGACACTTGGATTGTCTCCTATATTTTGCCATTATGAGTAAGTGTCTATGAACATCTATGTGCAAGTTTTTACGTGAACATGTTTTTCATTACTCTGGAATAAATATGCAAGAGTATAAGTACAAGGTCATATGATAAATGCATGTTTCATGTTATAAGAAACTACCAAACAGTTTTCCAGAATGGCTGTACCATTTTATATACCAATCAGCAACGTATAAGTTATCAAGTTTCTCCACAGCATGGTC